CCAACATTAACCTCCCCTGGCAGACCTTGAGTCTGTGCCCTCTAGTCCTACTCTATATAATACAGCATTTAAAAGTATTTTTGAATCTAATTTTATATATAACATTTATAATTTAAATTTTGAAACCTTCTGTTTCAAATAAAAAAGTAACTAGTAGGCCGGTTACAAGAGGGCCTTACCCACTTGCCTAAGAACAGCTTTATTTGGTTTAAAAGTCCATTCCGACTGGTGGTAGAGTGATGCTTTCAAAGTTAATCCTGCAACTCAGTACACTGATGTGCTTAGTGGAGTTATAAAATATGGTGTCTTGTGCTCAGGATGTCATGATGGTTTTGTGCTTTGAGAGAGACAGATTACTAGAAATTTTTAGAATCACAGAATTAACAGGGTTGGATGTGACCTCTAAGATCATGAAGTCCATCCATTAACCTGTCTCTGCTGTAACCCTTGAACTGGCCACTGCCAGATCCAGATACCTCTTAAACACTTCCAGGGATGGTGACTCCACCAACTCCCTGGGTGATCTATTCCAGTGCTTGAACACCCTCACAGTGGTTTATTTAGTAAATAAACAAGGTGCTTATACTTGTGTACATATATTTGCTGACCTAGGTTTAGGGTAGTGCCTTATTTTTATCATGGAGGAGTCAGGGGATTTGACGAAAGTCAGGTTACAGTCCACTAACTGAAGAGGTTCAATACATCAGCCACAATATAGTATTTGGAGAATTGTTGTCAGTAATGGTTATGTGAAGAGATATGAAGTTCACCACTTGTTAAGACTGGCAGCTTAAGTGGGGCTTAAGGTCTGATCTAGGCAGTGCCTAAAGCTTGTGTCATCCCCATGTCCAAATGCTTTCTGTAGTGCTCACACACATTTAAAGTATGCAAATAAAGATGCAGATGTGTATATATAATGCCCATTTAGAATAGCAATGGAAAAATAGTTTTCTTACCTTTTATCATCCTTTCCTCCAGTGGCTGTTCACTGGTACAGGAAAAAGCTTGATAGTTTCACCTGCCTTGTGCCTTTTCTCCCATTTTCATCCCATTTCCGTCTCTCACTCCATGTTCAGATGTTGTCCCTAACCTTCAAACAGACCATAATGGTAATTGCTACCTGTTAGATTTTTTAGCTAAAAAAACATAAAAAACTTATCATAAACGTTAAAGGATTTGTTTGTTTTGGGGGTTGTTCTCTTTGGTTTGGGTTTGGGGTTTTTTTGTGGGTTTGGTTTTTTTTTGGGTTGGGTTGGGGTTTTTTGGGGGGATTGGTTTGGCTTTTTTTTTTTTTTTTTCTTGTTTTTAATGGCACTTGATTTATGCCTGGATAGATCTTGTTAACCCTTGCAGAACTATTTTCTTGTCTTCCTCCATGCTACCTCTGCCCTCCACCTGCAGATTCCTCATCTTCCTCAGTGCCACACAGGTAAAAGAGAAGCCCCTCAAACTAGTGCTAGCCTCTGATGTAGCTGCATTTCTGTTTGGACCTGCTTATAAGTTAGCCCATGGGAACACACTGCTATGTTGTTAATGGTCTCTCATGCTTCTTTCTCTGCTAGATCCACACAGGTTTACAGCACCAGATAATCTGGCCATGCCAGCCCAGCTGTCTGCCCCTGGATGAGAAACTCCTTCCAGAGCTGCTTCAAGAGGCAGGATATGCTACTCACATGGTGGGGAAGTGGCATTTAGGGATGTACAGGAAAGAATGCCTTCCAACCCGCAGAGGATTTGATACTTACTTTGGTAATGGTTTGATTTAATGTGGGCAATAAATGGCAGTGTTAAAATGGATGAGAAACTGCCCTATTCTTCTAAGAACAGCAGACTTGCTGTTAGTATAAAAGCAAATCAGTACTGGGGTGTGCATGTGTCTGAAGAACCACTGCTTAAAATAAGATTATGCCTTAAATTTACTTATTGAAGAAAATATTGTCATTATTGTGGGACTCTAAATAAGATATTTCTCTCTTATGATCTTCCCCCACTCCTCCCTCCTTCCCAGGCTTATTCCTAATTCTCTACCTCTTCCCCCCAGCAGCACAGGGGAGCAGAATGGGGTTATGGTCAGTTTGTGCAGCACTAGGTTTCCAGAGCTGATGACAAATGGTGTGAAAGCCTCTATAAAGCACTGTCCGCTAGCTCACAAGTGATGAAGTCAGACTCTTAGTCTGAAAAATAGAGTGCCCAAATGTGAGTGCTTTACTTACAAAGTAACTTGTAGCCACCCTTTGTTTATTCTTCTGCTCACAGCTTTGTGCTCCTCTCCCAGTATTGATTGGACATGTAGTAGTTTTGCTCAAGTGCCACAGATCTTATATGACTTGGGCTGTTTGCTACATGTCTCATTCTGCATGGTACTCAGTGCAGAGTGGTCTGTCTCACTGGATTCACCATCCCTGGAGGTTTAAGATGTGGCACTTCCTGCCATGGTCTAGTAACCATGGTAGTGTTGGACTTGATGGTCTTGGAGGTCTCTTCCAACCCAGTTGATTCTATGATTCTGTGATCTCCACTTGGTTGTTTTTAAGACACTTTCATTGAACGATGAATTTAAAAATCATTCACTTCAGTGCAGAAGCCTGTGTCACTCTTGTCTAACCTTAGGCTTAAATGAAGAGCATGGCTGTGCTACATGCCCCTTATAGACTGTGATGGTCCAAAGTCTTGGAGGTCTCTTCCAACCCAGTTGATTCTATGATTCTGTGATCTCCACTTGGTTGTTTTTAAGACACTTTCATTGAACGATGAATTTAAAAATCATTCACTTCAGTGCAGAAGCCTGTGTCACTCTTGTCTAACCTTAGGCTTAAATGAAGAGCATGGCTGTGCTACATGCCCCTTATAGACTGTGATGGTCCAAATGTTATGTGGGGAAAATTGTTCCCTTAGATAGTTTATCTCTTTTGACTCTTCAAGGAGCTTGGGGCCATGGTTTCACAGCTGAATTAAGCTAGTATGTGTGGATCAGAATATAACAGCTCATTGCTTAAAAGTATATGCTCCTTCCCATCCCTTCACAGGAGCTTGGAATCTTTTTGATGGCATAGATGTAGATAAGCTGCTGTTCCTCGTGAAACCTTGCCCTGTGACCATGCAGGCTCTTCATGCAGGAGCCTGAACACAGGCTGGCTCTGGTTATGGTCATTGGGTGCCCAATGTGACACCATATTTCAGGGAATGTAGCAGTTTAATATCCTACAGTGTTCATGTAATTCCAGTAGGCATTTAATTCCAATTAGGGGCATTTGATTCTGTGAGACACTTGATGCAGTGTCTCCCCCAGTGGGCGTTCAAACTGGAAAAAATGCAGCTCGTGCCTCTTGAGTACATTGATGCAGACAGTCTGCCCACAAAATCAGTCTTTATGCTGTGAAAGAAACCCCATTTTTCCTCCTAAAAATGCATTAGACATTTTTCTTGTATATAAGACAACTTCATTCTGCCTGTACATATTTTTTTGCACAAATAACTAGCTGAAGCTGCTGAATAAAAATTCAAACAAAGTTCCTCTGTTTTGGATTTTTGTCCCCAATTTTTGTTTGATTTTGCAGAACATAAAAATATATCTTTTTCCCAGATTCATCTGGTTTTTTTCTGGCTATTGGGGGAGAAATCTAAAATCCAATTTCAAACATAGTAACTTTTGAGATTCAAATGATATTGAAAAGTTTTGTTTCTGATTGTTAAAACACAAAGCCCTAGGTAGGAGCAAATCTATACCTGTAGAATTTTTGCTTAGTTTGGTTTTTTTGGACATCTTTAAATTATAGTGTCTTTTCTTCACCAGTTGGGGTCAGCAGTGGATCAGAAATTACTCTACAGTTGACAAAAGATGCTTCATAGTTTGGTGTGTTTAAATAAATGAGTTTAAAAAAGTACAAGATTTCTAACAGACATGGAAATCTTATGTGAAAATACAAACATACAAAATCATACCAGCTAAAAATCAGAGTAGTACATGGAGAAGTCACTGCCTTTGATATCAGTATGTTAGTTTAATGCTATTGTCTTTGATATCAAATTATAAACATGAAGTCCTTGAACTGCTTTCAAAAATTTTAATTTATTTTGAAATTATAACTTGGATTAGCAATGAAAAGTCCATGAGGTATTAAATGTTGAGCTACTTAGACCTGTGGGAGGTGTCACTGTAGGTGGTGCAATGTTGAATTAGTGTTTCAGTTGAAAACCACTAATGTTTTGACATCTATTTTTGACTTTTTTTCTCCCCATGATGTATCTGTTTGTGTGACATGACGTTGTCTTGCTTCTTTGCCATCTTTTCCTGTCCTAGGCTACCTTTTGGGCAGTGAGGACTATTATACTCATGACCGTTGTGTCCTCATCAAAGCAAAGAATGTAACACGCTGTGCCTTGGACTTCCGAGATGGAGAAGAAGTTGCAACTGGATTTAAAAACGTGTATTCCACAAATTTATTCACAGAAAGAGCTATAGATCTTATAGCCAATCACAAAACTGAGAAGGTACAGTCAGCAGCTGTTACTCTGATAATTTCAACGTTAAAGAATGTTTTGAAAAATGTTGCTGAAATATCTATAGAGAGACCTGTGCTTGAGCTGTAATTTGGGGCTGTTCATCAAGGTGCATAGAGCTAAATGTGAGAAGTGATGCTGGTAACACTTGTCTCCTGTCAAAATCACCTTTGGCTGCATGGCCCTGGCCTGCTACCCTTCTCCATTTCTTTTATATTACAATCAATGAACCTCTAGAAGTGGTTTAGCATGTAGTTTGCACTTCTAGAAAGAGAATGGAAAGTTTAATGGGAGAAGTTTCATAGAAATAGTTTGTTAACAGTGGTGTTACAAGAAAAGATACACCTGATGTTTTTCCACAGCTTTTCAAAAGTCATTTTTCACAGTTGTGTTAGTTTATGTGCAGGGATTAGAAGGTGTGGAAGAAATCAAAACAGTGCCTGCACTGTTGATGAATCAGCTCTGCTTTTGCTGCAGTAACTTTTGCATTTAGTACTTTATATTCAAGTAATGTCCATGCTATCCCTTCCACCCCAGCCCCTCTTTCTCTACCTTGCCTTTCAGTCTGTCCATGAGCCTCTCGAGGTCCCTGAAGAATACCTGAAACCATATTCTTCCATAAAAGATGTAAAGAGGCGCCATTACGCAGGGATGGTGACTCTCATGGATGAAGCTGTAGGAAATCTCACTGATGCTCTGAAAGCATATGGTCTTTGGGACAACACGGTTCTTATTTTCTCTACTGGTAAGTTCCTTTAAATATTCTTTCAGTAATAACTTTGCTGCAGTGTCTAACAAGAAGATTTCTGAGACGTATGGCCCCTCTGTTGTTTCTCCATATATTTTCCAACTACAGAAGAGTGATGAAAGTGATGCAGGACTTTCAGTGAAACACCAGTTTCTCCTCCTGCTCTTAGGGCTTTCTCAAGCATGACAAAAACAGCTCTGAAGATGTGTCTGTGCAAGTGAGGAATGCTCCTGTTGGAGTGAAAGCACATTTTAAAGCCTGAGGAGTGCAGTGAAGTTAGAAGCATCTTTTGCCACTGCAGTTACTGAGGATCTGTCAGATTTGAATCCTTGCTGAAAGCCGTCTACCAAATTCATTTGTCCTGAGCTATAGGGAGCTGTCTGTCCAGTCTGTAAATTGCCATGTGTTGCGTGGAGCACAGACAGCCAGACAGCAAATGGTTTGAAGCCAAAACTCTTTCTTTCCCATACTTTCATGTGACATGTAATTTTTTGCCTTGCATGAAATACTTCACTGACATCTTACTCTCATAAAGCAAAGGTCTGTTAATTTAAAAGCTGAATATATGATGATACAGTCTAGTCTGCCAAACTACAGTCTTAGGTTTTGTATGTATAGGCACACGATCTGGTTTCTAGATTATTAGATTAATGCAAATAATACATTACAAAACAGTGTCCTTTGTTTCTAAATTAGGAGTGAAACAGAACCTTTTTGAAATACAGCTGCTTGGCTGGGTTTCAGGAACATATTTGTTCTTGTTTGGTTGTGAGTGGGAAGTAGCCTTTCAATGTTTGCAGTTGCTCTTTTGTTCAGGCTTTTCATACCAGCACTGTCAAAATGGCAAATTGATTTTCAGTGAACACTTTAAAAAACAACAACAAAAAAACCCCAAAGCAAATCCCAAGGTTTGAGGAATATGCAGTGATGTGGTTTGAGTCTAGCAGCTGCTTCCTATAGCAGTTGGAATCTTGGAGTTTTGAGTCCAAACCTGTTTGCCTTATGATGTTACATTTGTGTCCAGGTTTTGGCTCTAGCAGGATTTGATAACTCTTCTCTGCCTGTTTCTGTTTGCAGTGTTTTTATATTTAGAACTGAAAGTAAGCAAAGACATATGGAAAATGATAGCAATATTTATTCCATATGGAAAAAATCTAGTCTTTGCTGTTGGGGTCTTGGTAGAGTTATTTCAGTAATGTTTGTTCAGTACATTGTGGAATAAAACTAAATACATCTGAGTTAGAATTACAGGGTACAACTGAATTAAAACCACAGATTTATTCTTTCATTTATGAAACTTTTTTTTCCCAAACAGTGACAGAATACCCCGGTTTTTAGCAGTGATTGTTGTGCAGTCAATTACAGGTACATTTCAACAAGAATTAGTCAGGACAATCCAGTGTCTGCCCTATCTAATGGGACTTATTCTGAGTTAATTAACATTTTAAACTGCTGGGAGTTAAATTGAACGTGATTGAAATGCACAGATCAAGTAGGGCCTAGATCAAGCGGGACAGGGGCCAGTGACTTGAGTTTTTCCAGTGTTCTCTCTTCACTCCAAACAGTTATTCTTTACAGGCAGAAAACATTGCATGCATTAAAGACCCAGTTTCAAAAACCAAATGTTGAAACCATTAAGCATTAAAAAAGGCTAAAAAAGTAAAAAAAAAAAAAGTAAGTGTGACTTCTATTCAGTTTTTCCATATTTTATTTAGTGCTTTTGCAGGTGTGTTTCAAAATGGATGTTAGAACATGGTTGTAGAGAAATACGAGAGGGTCTGCAGTTGAGAGTTTTGTGCAGAGGGTTGTGCCGTGTGAGATCTCTGCACAGCTTTCAAGACCTTTGGAATTGGGAGTCCTCATGTGCACTGGTAGCTGTAATATAGGCTGATTGCCTTCAGCTCTTGAGAGCATCCCTGCTTGAGAAAGTCCCTCTCACTGCCGCAAGTGCTGTCCTGGGACTGGGACACCCTCCTCTTGCTCAGTATGTCAAGAGGGACACACTTTTCTCTGTGATCAGGAGCTCTCTCCAAGAAAGTGCTTCCCATTTGGTAGGGTTGAGAATCAATTTAAGAATTTAAATGAAGACTGCTAGGGAGAATCTAGGGAATGATTAAGTTTATCCATGCCTTTGATGAGCAATATCTCTGTGTGTCCTCACTTAAAGACACAGAATCACCATATTTGCAAGAGGGACTTCGGGGTCCTGGTGGGGGAAATGTTGGACATGACCCAGCAATGTGCGCTTGCAGCCCAGGAAGCCAACCACATCCTGGGCTGCATCAAAAGCAGCGTGGGCAGCAGGCCCAGAGAGGTGATTCTGTCCTTCTCCAAACTCAAAAGACCCTATATGGAATACTGCATCCAGCTGTGGGCCCCCCAACATAAGAGGGATGTGGACCTGCTGGAGTGAGTCCAGAGGAGACCACGAAGATAATCAGAGGACTGGAGCACTTCTCCTGTGAGAACAGGCTGAGAGAGTTGGGGTTGTTGACAAGCCTGGAGAAGAGAAGGCTCTGGGTAGACCACATTGCAGCCTTTCGGTACTTAACGGGGGCATATAAAAAAGATAAGGACAGACTTTTGTCATAGCCCATTGTGATAGGACAGGGGGCAGCAATTTTAAACTGAAGTCAAGCAGATTCAGACTAGATAAAAAAAGGAAGAAAATTTTTACATTGAGGGTGGGAAAACACTGGAAGAGGCTGCCCAGAGAGGTGGTAGATGATCCATCCCTGGGGCACATTCAAGGTTGGGTGAACAGGGCTGTGAGCAGCCTGATCTAGTTGAAGATGCCCCTGCTAGTGTAGGGAGGTTAGATGAGAGGACTTTTAAAGGTGCCTTCAAACCCAAACCATTCTATGATAAAAGCACTCTCTGTTTTGTTAAACACCTGTGTTGTTGAAAATCTGTAGAGGAAGAAGAAGTGAAGGCTCTGCTTTTACTGTGTATTTTACTAGATTCATTATTATTTCCATTGTAGTTGCAGAACGAAACTCCCATTTGTATGTTTCCATTTCTCCCTGCTTCAACAGTCCTGTCCGCAAAATAATTTACAGGTGATCATTTCCTGTTGTGTTCTATAGCAAGTAGCATTGCAACAAACATAAGTCTTCTGTTTGATTACTTCAGTGTGTAGTGTCCTCCCCAAATCAGAGATCTCATTTTAGTGGGTGCTTATGAAATACTCTAGAAGATGTTACGAACTTTGATGTCATGGTAGATTATTTTTTTATTACACTCTTCTGCGTTTCTTCCTATTTATTGTGGCTCAACCAGGATTGCCTTGAAAATGTGCCAGTTGACAAATGGAAATACTGCACGTTTTGAAAGAGCCTTGTAAAATGTGTAGGAGAACTTCAGTTCCTCTTTAAAAGTGGCCTGATGGAGACACCAGGAGAAAAATGAAGTAATCTGGTCATTAGCAAAGTCTGACTCCATCAGTATATCCTGTAAATCAACATCTCTGGTGTCTTTTTGAACAGATAGGCAAGCTGTTTCTACAAGTAAATGTGAAAAAAGATGAGCTAGCTCAATGGTATATGGTGCTATGTTTGTGTACCAAGCTTGAAAAGTAGTGACTGGTGTGATACAATGTAGAATTTGCTTTTATGGAGCACTTCTTATACAGCAGATACAAGTAAGTTTATGCTAATGAGATCAGTGGTGAAACTTTCATTGCTTGTTTGAGCAAAACAGATGAAAATGGATGCAGCAGTGTTGGGTACCCATGGCCTTTTATCCACTTGAAATCAAAGAGAATAAGACATAGGGTGTATTTTTCTTTTTAGCCTAGCATAAGAGGCTGTAATTACCAATGTCCTTGAAGAGGGCCTTGATTTAAAATAAAAAAAAAGGTCATTAAAAGCATTGAAATGGTACAAATTTGCCTCAGAACTATTAACACTGGCTTAGAGTCCCAATTTTACTTCAATATAGAGCTATGATTTGGGGTAAGAAGTGGGGATTTGCTGTGAAGACAATGTGTTTATAGTTTCTGCAAGATAATTTTGGTGTAAACTTGCTAGCATTAAAGCAAAGAAATCTGACCTCTAATTTTGGTTCTGTATTAAAGCTACTATCCTTTGCTTTATTTAAGCTTTTCAATATACTAAGTAATTTTGGAGCTAAGCTGCTTTGCCTCTCTTTCTTCCAACGTGCGTCTCGGTTTTCAAATGCGGATTAGCACTGTGGTGCCTGGGAGTTGCCATCAGAGGGCTTTGAGGAGTAAAACACGTGGAACTTTTCAAGCCTTGGTTTACATTGCTAAGAGGAAACCACATAAATCCTTTCCATAATGGAGCATGTGACAGCGATGACTGTTTTCACTCCAAAAAGAGGGTCTTTTTATCATTTCAGAATTATGATTAATAAGAGCACAGATTGCTTTGGACGTACTTACTGGTGTTTATATAATCTCTATCTCTCACACACTCCTATGTTTTTTTCCCCCCTCAAAGTGTCATATTACCCTAATTTTTTATTTTTTTATATATTCTTTCTGCATTCCAGCCAGCACATTGTGGCTTTTGTCTAATAAAATATTGGAAATTTTTTTTTCTTATTTCCAGTGCGTACTTTGAAACTGTGGATTTGACTTTCACTGATTCCCTATGGGCACTTTTTTCTCTTCTTCTTGTTGCCTTTGTTACTGAATGAACTCCTACTCCTTCGCTTTTGCTGGTAAGGGACTTCAGAGAGCCTTCTAATTGCAGATTGTTCAAGCTAACTGAAGGACAGATTGGTTGGAGCAGCTAATCTCTGTCTGTGGAGTCAGATGTGCGAATTTTTAAGGCTGTGTTACCAGATTTTTTTTTAATTACATATCTGAAGGTCTGTTCTAATTGGTGGTCTTTCAGGAGTTTCTGGGAGGTTCAATGTGTTGCCAGTGGAAAAGATGCCTGGGCATCTGTTGCCTAAGCACCTGATGCTTCTTAAGAGGAAATACGCACAGGTGCCTTAGCTGCAAGCACCTTCAACCACACTAGTTCTCTGAG